TATATATATGTATAATTTAAATGGAGTTACCTATAATTGGGGGGGGGCAGTGCCCCTACCAAACACCACAGGCTAACCAATAAAAAGCTCAGTGCCAGAAATGGGCTTTCTCTTTTGGAGTTGTTGACCAAGAAGGCTCCATTAACCCTCAAACAGCACTTGCTATTGCCAAAATTTGACAGTAAGACACTACTGCTGAGGATACTACATATGTGAATCACAGAAAAAATGATGAGAAATCAAGTTGATACTGACCTCAAAGCCCCATCTCTACTGCCTAGCTTTCATGGTGCTGGAAGGTGCTGTGCATCCAACTGGAAGAGAAAAGTAATCATCTTTACCCAGTTATGAACTCTGTGAGCTACAATAACAACTGGTCAGGCAAGATATGTCCACTGTTGCAATAATGTCACAAACATGGGAGTAACCAACCACTCTATGATTGGATTTAAGACCTACTTTACAAGATGGATCCCACAGCTGGCACTGTTATCAGGGCCAAGAACATGTGGCTAGACAGGTCACAGGCCATAGGGGAGAATCTACTGCTATTATTCCGCTAAATGGACATGGTATTAAACCAAATCCTAATAACTTATGATTATACAATAGATTTGTGCAGCTCTCAACTTTCACCATAGAAGCTTCTTCTTCAAACAGATAATGATTAATACACAGACCCACAACTGGTCAACATGCACAAAATAAGAGACTGCACCTTAAATGGAACACCTATATTATACCCTCTCCTCCCAAGGCTCAGAAATCAAAGTGAGAAGAAAGCTTGTAAGCACCAGGGGTGGTAGATGGGTACAAGGAAACCATGTTTTCTGGACACAACAGGGCACGTGCTCATATGAACTCACAGTGCTTATGACAGCATGCACAAGACAGTGCAAGCCCAAGGCAGACAAAAAACCCAGCATGGGGGCAAGGGGGCAAGAAGCCCAGCCCTCACTGAGGAACTATTATCAAATGACAGCTACTGGGAGAGAGAGACTTGATTTGCTTTAAGGGTGTGACACAGGGTAGGTGGGGTAGGCTTCAGAAGATAGATCTACATCCAAAACCATTTGAGGAACACAAACTAGATAGGCCTTTAAAAAAAACATGAAGTGATGGGTGGGAAGGGAGGCAGAGGTAGACATGAGAGGAGATGGCAGCAGGAGTCTGAATATGATTAAAATACATTGCATGAAATTCTCAAAAATTGTACAAAAATGGAAAAGTAGTAAAAAGACTACAACTATAAATATGTTAATGGACATACAACATTAAATGACATGAATTTTATATCAAGTAATGCAAACGCAGTGCAAGGTTTAAAAGTTAAGTTTTTGGTGTGATCAAATGTAATTTAGCAACTAAAAACACCATTTCCATGTAAGATACTTGATGTCAATCTTTTGGTGAAAATGTCTATAGAAGACATTCAAAAGAAAAAAATCCATCACATCATAAAAATTTAAAAATGAACAGAAAGGAAGACAGTAACAGAACAAACCAGAACAAAATTTATCTGTAAAGCAGAAGGCAATTAACAGAATGATTCTTCTTTTCCAATAATTTTAAATCTAAATAGATTTAAGTCCCTAAACAAATGTATAGAGCTGCTGAGAGGATTAAAAAAATGGACAAAAAAACTGACCTCAGTGACCCACACCTTTAATCTCAGCACTTGAGAGGCAGAGGCAGATGGAGTTCTGTGAGATTGAGGCCAGCCTGGTCTACATAGAGAGTTTCAGGCCAACTGGGGCTACAGGGACACACTGTTCAGAAAAATGAACAAACAAAAAATACCAAGAACCAGCTGTATATTGTCTATAAATTATTCACTTTAGCTCCGAAGGCACATGGGCTAAAACTGAAGGGAAAGAAAAAGATATTCCATATAAATCTAAAAGAACAAAAGCAGCTCTGCTTCCATCATACAAAATAGAGTTTAGGTCAAAACAGTGGCATGAGAGAAAGAGAGAATGATAACAATAATGATCAAAGTTTCAATTCACCAGGAGTATAGATCAGTTCTCATAACACGTACCCAGCTTCAGAGCACCTAATATATAAAGCAGTCATTGGTGAACTGAGAGGGAAAATGCCAGCACCATGATGTGATACTACAGTCATCTGCGTTCAACGATGGACAGAATACCCCGGCAGAAAATCAATAAGGAAACAGTGGACTTGAAAAACACTACAAACCAAATTCGCCTTAGCGACAGGAACAAATCTACAGAACATAGTCTCCTCAGGTGCACATGAAGCATTACCCAGGATAAAACACATGTTATCAGAAAACCAGTCTTAACAAATTTAAGGAGAATGAAATCCAATCAATTGTTTTCCCAACTACTAGGGAATGAAAGTAGAAACTAATAACAAGACAAAAATTTTGTAAAGTCACAGGGATCAAACAATACATTGTTGCATGGCTCATGGGGCAAAGAAGAAATGAAAAAAGAAAATAGAAGACTATTTCAAGACAAATGAAACTTCTAAAAATGAATTTATGGCACTGGAGAGATGGCTCAGCCGTTAAGAGCACTGGCTGCTCTTGCAGAAGACCTGGGTTCGATTCTCAGCACCCACATGGCGGCTAACAACTGTTACTCCAGTTCCAGGGGATCCAATACCCTCTTCGGACTTCCACAGGCATGGCATGACATGGGTGCACTTACATATATGCAGGCAGTACACACATACACACAAAATAAACATAATACTAAGTTATTTTAAAAATTAAAACATAATTAAATAAAAATGAATTCATTAACATGTTCTTCACCCTCAGTGCCTCCCAGAGATGACCGCTCCTATTAGTTTAGAATGTTTTCCTTCAAACATTTGTATCTGCATCTATGTGTCTTACTTTTTCAGTGTAAGTTGGATCATGCTAACTTCTTGCTCCTTTCACTGGCTCACTGGCTCAGGCATTGAGTGATATCGTTTTTAAATGCCAGATAATTTCTCAGGGTAAAATGTACAAATTATTCAGTGCTGTATAACTGTGTTGCTTCTGATTATTTATATCACTAAAAGGCTTTGGTGAATATGCTTTTAATACATATGTCTATGCCAGGGGACACTTAAATGTAAATATGATGGGTGGATTTCTTTTAAAAAGAACTCTTGGGGTAAAGAGTATACACATCAAAATTTTGATTAATAACTGCCAAATTCTGTTAGTTCTATAGCACATCTATTACAATAGATGGCAAGGGAACACAAACCTTTAATCAGGGAGCTGCAGGGGAGTAGGTCTCAGAGTATGGTTTCTTAAACAGCCACATCAGCGTCACCTGGAATTTTATTAAAGATACAGATTCTTGGGCTGGCCCCAGATAGACTGAACCCAACTTTTGTGGTGGGAGGTGGGCAGCAATATGCCTCAACACTCTTCAGGTGTTGAACACTCAGTGTTTCCATGACAGCACTCTGGATTGGACTTTCTGGCTCCACAGATTTCTTCTGTACTTTAGGCACTCCCAACCTGGGTGGATTCATTGGACTGACCACAGTAAGTACTGGCCATCTTATTTGCCAGCTAGTTTAGGGAAAGGGCATTGTCTTCAGGAACTGAGGGAAGATTGGATCTGATTCTTCTCTGTGTGCAAGAGCTTTAACCAGAAAGATCACCTTAAGTTTCTTCAGATGCATTTCTGAGTGTCTCTGTTGTTTGTTGATTTCAGGTCTATACAAGTCAGTGAATATGGACCTATATGGTGGAGCAGAGCGGGTATGCAGGGCCTTTTCTGCATTTGTGGATCAAATCACTGGGCCCAACTAGAAGTGAAAGGCTCAAAGTCCCGTTGGTGTGGCAATCAAAATCTGAATTAAAAGAATTAAGCCTTCAGACTCCTGTTAGATGGTTGCTATGGACTTTGAAGTTGTTTTTAGATTTCTCCACTCATGTATCTTAGTTTTCCAGTGTAGAGTAAAACTTTAAGGGTGAGGGTAGAGGAAGGAAAAGAAAAGACACAGCAGCAGGTCAAATCCAGGTGGCTAAGCTTCTATCAGAGGACTAGCCAGTCTCTGAATCTTTGGTAATAATAATCATGTGATTTACATGAATGAAAACAACAGTCTTCAAGTATCATTTATAATACTGAATTGATGACTCAGTCTGAAGCTCCTATCAAAGAACAGGCTTGGCAAAGAACTAAACACAACACACACACATACACACACACACACACACACACACACACCTTGCATACCACACAACACACATTTCAGGTAAAACTGATGAAATCTGAATAAAATCTAGAATGCATCAATGTCAATTTTCTGGTTGGGATATTGTGATACAGTTATGAAAGATGTTCTCATGATGGGAAATTGGATGAACATAGCTATATATAAATAAACAAGTATCTCAATTTTTTAATGTAAATGTTTTTTTTCTAAAAATCCAACATCTGATGAGTTTTACCAAAGCATTTATGTGGGCCCTTTCCCCCATGTTGAATTATGTTATAACCAAAACTTATCTTGATATCCAGGCTAATAATTAGAGCACTTAGCTTCTAACCATCTTTTTAAAGATTTTATTTTTTTTTTAATTGTTGTAAGTGTCTGTGTGTAGGTGTGTGCATGTGCACATGAGTGCAGATACCTGGAGAGGCCAGACATGGTGTCAGATCCTCCAGAACTAGAGTTACAGGCAGTTGTGAGCCAGCTGATGTGCTGGGAACTGAATTTGAGTCCTCTGGAAGAGCAGTGTGCACTCTTAAACCCTGAGCCATCCCTCCAGCCTGATTTTTTGTTGCTATTGTTTCTTGTTTTGTTTTGTTTTGTTTTGGAGTTTAATTGAGACGGGTCTTACTGTGCAGCCCTGGCTGGGCTGGAACTCGATATGTAGAGCAGGCTGGTCTCAAATTCAGAGAAATACACTTGCTCTGCTTCCCAAGTACTGGTATTTTAAAGGAATGTACAACAGTATCTGGCGCTAAACATCTTATATGTATTAACACATTTAATTCTCACAATGTGTTTACATAGTCCCTAGCTTGCTTTATAGGGAAAAGAAATGAGACATACAGAGGTCCCAAAACCATGTGGCCAGTTCTTCAAGCTATATTTGAACCCTGATTCCATGTCTATACTCTAATCACTGCTCTATAATTTCTCTCAATAAATATTGCTGTGATTCCAATGTTTTCATCTGCAGTCCATGTTACAGAAAGACTGGTCAACCATTCCTAGTAATGTCAGGACAGGTTTAGGACTAGGTTTTTCCTGCGCCATCACATTCCAATATTTAGATTTTTCTTTTCAGTCTATTTTAGTTTTTGTTTAGATTTCCTCATTTATTACATTCATTTTCCTCTGTGTCATCACAGAGCATTCCTTGCAAGCTTGTTAAGTACACTCTGCAGCACAAGTCAGTAGTCTATAGCCTGCTTGTTCTGGACAGGCTGTGAACTGAGGCTGTGAACTGAAACTGGGTTTTACATTTTTCAAAATGACTGAAAGGACAAATGAAAAATGATTTATGACACCTGAAAATTGTATGGATCCAAATTTCAGCATCCATAGACAAAGTTTTATTGGAACACAGCCCTTTTAAATACCTATTGCTATAGCTTTTCCTGGTCTACACAGCAGACTTCATTAATGGCAACAGGCACAGGACAGCTTGCAAAACCAGTAATGCTTACAACCTGACCCTTTATAGAAAAACATACCTCTACTCCCAATGTAGAATTGCCAGAGTTAGGAAGGAACAAAAGACAGGTTCCATTCTCCAAGCTTTATGTCAAAGTAATAAGTTTATCAAAATATTTTGAAGAATATGATGAAACATGTTAGAGAAAACAGGTGAATATAAAATCATGATCCTGTGAAGAAATGTAGTCAGAATGGTAGCTTTTTAACGTTCTCTTTTTCCGAGGCATCTAAAGCCTGAAGCTGTCATACCCACTAGCAGCAGCTCTTGCCCCCAGGGTTCCATCCCCTGTTGTTAGGAATCAGGGAAGCCTCAGATGAAACTATCTTCTGATAACACCTATTTAGACAACGTCTCTGGCTTCAAGAGGGCCCTCAAACTTCAGTGAAACTTTCTGAGGCTGATTTGGTCATATCTGAAATTCAAACTCCCTGTCAATGATGTGTTATAAAAAATGATTACAAAAATAGAAATAATTCAAGGTAAAAAATAGCATTGTGTCTAGATCACCAGTAAACCTTTTAGCTGGCGTCACTGCTGTGGGTCTCACTCTGGTCGTTGTTCAGGGAGAAACTGTTCAGAGGTTCTTCTTTTATCATCTTCGCTTCCATTTTATTCCGCTTTTCAAAGCAAAGTGTAGCCATTTACAGATTTTTAATATTTAATCAAATAGCATAAACATAAATGGAGATAAATTCTTCTTATCTTATTGGAGATTTTTCTGCTACCTTATTGGAGATTAGCACTAATATTAAAGATGTAAATAAAGAGACTCCAATAACTTGGGGTCCAAAGATTTTATTAATTTTGTTTTCATTAGAGTGCTTTTTGTATTCACTATTCAAAAATATTCTCACAGACCATGAGTAACTATATATATATAATGGTAATTAAAACATATAGTCTTTCCATGCCAATATACAAGCAGTGCAGTGATTGATGCCTTGCAATTTGTGCAGCTTATTCAAGTTAAATGTGTGTCACTCTAGTTCATTAATAATGGCAAGCATCCCCAAACTAATGATCAAATGACTATACAGAGGCAAAGTCTCCCAATCCTGGTCATCTTTAGAAGTTCTTAAGTCCTGTAGACAGTGGCATGGTCAAGCAATGGTCATCATGTGAAGAAAGGTTCAACCTAAAAGAATGAAGCTGTAAATAAGCCTCTCTAAACATTTCCACCACTTAAAATAAAATAGATGATTAATAGGAAAATATTCATATATTCTTAATTCCAAGGGTTGAGTCATCTCTGAGGTTAGTTTTATTTTCTCTTTATTTCCAGATTCAATTTTCCATTGAACTTAGACCCACTCCCGCGCATGTGCATGCTTATCAAATCTTCAATCAATTCTTTCTTCTTTAGGAAAGGGGTTCTTAGGCGCTGAGAATATACACCTGAAAGTAGAAAAAGAACTTCATAAGGTCCCTAAATTATATCCAGGCTAATTAGTCTTCTTAAAAGAACAAAATTGATGTTTCTGACAGTCTACTATCACCATTTATTATACACTGTAGACACGTATAGATAAATTTATATTTATGATGTTTTCTGTCCTATGCAGTTTACATATACAATTAAATTTAAAAATTATTATTTAGAATTCTTGTCAATTAAATCATATTAAGATGTATGATTTTAAACGTTTTAAGGGTCATTTTATCATTTTGTATGATTTTAAAAGTTTAAAAGGTCAGCCGGGCGTGGTGGCACATGCCTTTAATCCCAGTGCTAGGGAGGCAGAGGCAGGCGGATCTCTGTGAGTTCAAGGCCAGCCTGGTCTACATAGTGAGTCCCAGGACAGCTGGGGCTACAGGGAGACCCTGTCTCAAAAAACCAAAAAAAAAAAAAAAGTTTAAAAGGTCATTTTATCATTTCAATATAGAAATCTAAAGGACACTTTAAATCACCAATAATAGAATCTTCCAGAGATAGCCTTGACATCAGACACACACTTTATTCTATATATTCTATATTTGTTTAACTATTACCCTATTCTGGGGCATTTGGATTCTTTCCTGTTTTTCGGTAAATGATACTGGAATGAAGAGCTTTGTGCTGCATCACTGACTATTCTTCTGGGTACCTTCTCAGAATTAAGTTATAGATGGGTACTTGATGAATATATTGCACAGGAAATTTCTTAGAATGAGTAAAGTAGAAAATCAAACATTTATGAATCTATGTATATCTCAGAAGCTTTGTTTTCTCTTGTGTCTGGTGTTTTAAAATAAAGGCTACAAGGAGACCCTGTCTCAAAAAGACCAAAAAATTAATTAATTAATTAATTAAATTTAAAAAATAAAATAAAATAAAGACTATAAACATTTGTCATTTGAATACCAAATGAAAATATCATCGGATTATAAATCTAAATTTTACCTGGCTTCCTCATACAATCAATAGCACATTAGACTTCTAAATATCAAAACTTTAATTTTTCACATCACAGAGAAAAGTAATCACTATTTTTCTAGAAAAAAAAACCTTACTAGTCCCAGGAAGGCATTTTTTCCATCCTTAATGGAAGAGCAAGTCTTATTGAAGGAAGCAAGTATCATTTTTGACACAAACAAGGTTATACCTAAAAATCTTTTCATTTGAAGAGAAATGTTTACTACCTTGTGAATGAGGCTGAACTCTATTTCTTCTTTGAAGGTATATAGATCCTGTTTAGGTCTTCCTTCAAACACATCATTATTCAGCTATTAATTTTTTGCCTTCATAGACTAACAATGATCTTTAGAATCTTTTCTCATATGTCATCTGTAGCCCTCAGAATTTTTAGAGTTCTCAATTCTGGCCTCTTCTCTTCCTGCTTATTATTGTTATAAATAGCCATGGTGTCCCAGTCATAATTCAGCTTAGTCAACTCTTCTTAGGGTTAAGTTCTTCCCGTCTTTCCAGAGTTAAGTAAGTGTCTTTCATACATTTCTTTTTTATACAATCATAGAACATTCAAATAATCAGAGAACATGAAGAGATTTTGTAGGTCATCTAATTCTTCCCATGGCCCCTTTTTTTCAGATGGAAAAACCAATAATTACTAAATACATAAATTAATTTGCCCCAAGTTCCATGGCTATTTGACATCTCTTGTTTTCATTTTTTTGATGCAATCAATATTAACAAATATGATATATCACATACAAAACTACAAAGATTACATGTTTTAACAAATCATGAATCACAATAAGTTTTCATAAGTGGATTTAAAGTGATTAGTTTTAAAGACATAAAAACAAAATCTTTCTGTATATTGTGTACACAGTAATTTTGGTTCTATCCTTCCACCCTGATGCCATGGTTTCCTGTGAATCCCAGAGATTAACACTCTTCACCCTCACCTCCCTTTCAACTTTGTAACACATCATCCCCAGGAATAAGAAGCAAAAAGTTATTAGTGGATCTACCCTGGTACATCCAGAGCCTGGCTGAACCACTAGAGACTAAATGAAGCTTCTTGAAAGGGAAGCTAGTGTTCCTGTAACTATTTAACTTTTGAACATGTATCTTCTTGACCAAAAACTCTTTTTTAGTGTGATTATGCCAACCAAATGAAAAATCTCATTTCCTGATCTTCCAACAATTGTTTGTGTCAAACATTAAGATAACTTCAATAAACTGAAATGTTCACTCCTACTTGCTGAACTATTCACAAAGCAACTTAAAGTTTGCAGCACAACTCTCTAGTGGGGTACAAGAAAAGACTTCCAAAGCTGGAACTTTGGAGGAATATGGGCAGTGTCTCCCTTCATGTTCATCTGAACACAAATAATAATGTCTTCATTTGTTCTGCAGACATTTCTCAGGGAAATGCAGAGTGCAAGATTTTAAAATGTCATAGTGATTTGAATTTAACAGCTAATCAGATAGGACTGGGAGGCAGGGCTTTACAGAACACTGTCAGGAGACAGAAGTAAATGTATGGTCTTTACCAATGCTGGTGCCTGAGCCACTTCAGTTCAAAATATTCTTAAAATATTAGTAATAAGCATTTAAAGATGTTCAGTCTATATTTCTACTTTAGTAGCAAATCTGCTGAGAGAATATTTCGTCTAAAAATAAAAATTGGTGTGAAGCTACCATTACACTTAGCAAAATAATAACCTTATTTATAAATAATAGGAGAGGATTATCTGGTTTCTTGGCTCATCAAATCATAACGTTTTTTAGTTACTGAAACTAAAACAAACTATATATTTTTAAGTGCTTTATAATATCTCAGGAAAAGGTAGTTCTGGAACTAGTACTGCCAATTGCTATTTTAACAGAGCAATTTTAGGAACATAAAATAGTTCTCACAATTCAGTGCTCAAATGTAAAGATTAGTTATGCCTCAGTTTTCTACTGGTGCATAAATAATTCTAAGAATACCTAAACAGTACTGCTGCAAAGTTCGGAAACTTGTTTATTGAAATGACACCCAAAAAGAAAGAAAATCAAGATGAATAGGATTCAGGCACCTTTCTGCTTACTTATGGGGGCTCACATTCTAATTTAACATGGAACATTTCTTCTACAGCCCTAGAGAAGACTGTCTGTGAATTAGCGTATAGTATTCACTTTAAGTATATGTTCCAGCTTACCAAAAACCAATTGCTAACTGCAAGTTAATTACTTATTTACTTTATTCAGAAAACAACATGGAAGGAATATGCATGCGGGTTGATTTTTTGCTCTTGTTTTCATCAATTAAATACCTCTCAAGAAGTCCCTTCATTTGCCTGGAAGTAATGGTTTTTTTTTGCTTTCAGTTTAAAAAGGGCAAGAATGAATTTTATGCTGCAAATGTTCCCAGTTTCACAGCAAGTAAACACCAGGTTATGACTTCAATGTTCAGCCTAATGATCAAAATTAGTCTTGATTTTGGGGCAGACCTTCTACCTTTACATTTTATTTGGGCATCATGCTTTTTCTTATTTGTCTTTCTTACTCTTCCTGACTACTGGTCACATGAAACATGCGGGGGAGGGAGGGAATATGTTGACATAAAGAACTATTAGGAAATTATTAGGAAATACAAAAGGGAGAGCTATCTTTCTGTTACTCGAGACCTCTTGACAGTCACCTCTTGAGAGCAATATATGTGACATCAGCTTCCCCTAAGCCATTTCCTTATCCCTCACAAGTTAGCTCATTCATACTTGAAAGACCCATTCAACAGGCATGGGAGCTGGGGTGGACCACCTTGTTTACTCCCTGAATGCTGTAGCTGCACTGCTGAACTTTTCTCTTCTCCAGCCAACTGTCTCCTTCCTAAGCCATGGTTCCTGGAGAGGACACAGTCCACATAGATGTCCCAGAAGAGTTGGGCCAGATCCCAAAACAGTGCTCCATGTTTCAAGTTCTCAGATGACTTTAGATAGATCATGAAATCCCAAAAGCCAGAAACCGTGTTGGAAATGCGAGGTTTCCGCATTTCCAGGAGGAGCACTGAGGAGGACTCCCAGCACTGAGGGTCAGCTTGGTTAAGAGCCAGCAGGTCCGTCTGACTATGACAGAAGAAAGGAGACACACAGCACATTCCCACAATGAGCAGGGAGCAGGTGAGACTCAGGGGGTGGTGGATCCCTCTTCTGTTCCCAGGATCAGCCATGGCCCTGCAACTGCACACATGGGAACATGTCAGTCCCTGGTGGTATTCCATTCAGTAAGAGAAGTCAGTGTGCCCCTGAAAGTCAAAGAAACCTAGCTTCCTTCCCACATACTTTAAATGGCTCATTGCCAATCCAGTCAGCGTACAACCAAGAACATTCCTAAGATGTATTCACTTGCAAGATGAATAAGTGAACCTGTCTTCCTGGTACATAAGCATATAGTTTAAAAGAATATTTTAAGTCCTGCCACATGACTTTTTTTATATTTTAAACTTAACCACCGTAATATTCTTCTATGAAGTTAAGAATTTCTTTTTGCCCTTATATGCTTTCCTGTTCACAGTGGCCTTTAATTTTTAAAAGATGTTAGCCTTACAAACATTATCATAAAAATTAACACAAGATCAGTGCTGAAAGTGTGGATAACTATATTTGGAAACTAAAGAATATGTATTCAACCCATTAGAGTAAAACTGATAGACATTTTACAAATGTCTAGATGCTCTGTGATCCTTATATGAATTTAATGAAGGTAAAGCTTTCTGATTTCTCTCTTCTTCAGTGAATTTCAAGGATTTGAAGGAAAATGATTTGCTTCTCTTTCAACTTTGCTAGCTCTCAGTGTCTGTTGCAGTAAATTTATCAGAACTGCCACAGGTCACCTGTAAATGGTTCTTAGTGCCACTTCAGACAAGTGCAATGAGAAATTATGCCCTTGAGATTAAGGAAATTTTCTTTTCCCCACAAGATTAAAAGTTTATCTGACTGATCTCCAGCCATACGAAATACATATCACATTTAAACAACTTCAACATAAAAAACAGGAAAGATACACACTACTCACTTCTGGGTTTGTATTTCTTTTAAGGTGTATCTCAGGAAGACTTGTGGAAAAAAAATATCTTTAAAAGACTTTGTAATTGTAACACCGGAAGGCAGACTCTCCTCTACACGGCAGAAGGGCTATTAAATGAGTATTTCAACAACTGAATTTGAACATACAAATAATCCTAGTCTAAAGGCATATGTTCGAAACAGCAAATCACTCAAAAAAAGGGATGAATTTTACTTCATTTCCACATTAGCTCTGCTTGAAAAAATTGTATTTATTGAACTAAAATGTCATAGTCACACAGAAAGGTTTCAAAGAATGCAGATTTGATGTTCACGTCAAGTTTGTAGTAGACAAAGGAAGAGGTGCTGTCCAGGGTTCTGAAGTTGGTGTGTTCTGGGCTTCCCGGGAGCTCAGGCTAACCTTGCTAATAAAGACTCCATTCGATTCCCTTCTTTTCAAAAAGATTAAGTTCCCTAACGCAGGAGTCCACCCCCCCCCCGCCCCCATGCGCCGTCCTGGGAGCCCCGCGCTGGGCTTGGTAAATCTCGACCTCACACCTGCTCTGACTGCCTCGCCCACCCGGGGCGGAGCCGCCCAGACCCACTGGGTCTCCACTCACCTCCTCCCTCCGCGGCTCGGCTCCGGGTCTGCAGGGTGCCGCTCCGCACTCACCTCCCGTGCCCTGACTCGGGTCCCTGAGAGAGCCCAGAGGAAGCGCTCAGGCTGCTCCTCGAGCGGGCGACTGTCCCCAGCTTCCGCGTCCTGAATGCCACCGCGCTTCTTAAGCAGTGGGAGTGTTCCGCGCCTCTTAGAGTCTACGTCAAAGCGCCTGCAAACTGCCGCCACCTCTGCCTCAGAGTCCGTCTCCCGCTCTCCCGCGCCCTGCTCGTCCCTCCTCTCCCAAGCTTTGCTTTAGGAAGTGACTGGGCCAGGCTGCAGGCCCTCTCCTACGCCCACCCTCCACTCCACCCCTGCCCACGCCCACCCTCCACCGGAGCAGCCTTTGTGCGGTTGGGCTTCCAAGACCCATCTCGAGAGCCAGAGTCGCAGTGCTGTCGCGGGACTGCGAAGTTGGGGCTCACTCAGCTCGCTAGACGCATGTTTGGGGAAGAGTGGAGGTCCCTTAACCTCTGCTTTCCATGCACCAGCTCATCTGAGCTTACAGGGGTGTGAGAACGTGAGATCTTGGGGTCGGGAGAAGGAACAAGGGCTCCCTCCCGACTCCAGTCAGAAAAGGCTCTAAGAAAATGCAGTGTCCCCCTAGGTGCCCTGGGTGTGAGTTTCTTCTACCTTATTGAGGCCCTAGAGTGGACAGATGGAAGGGGATGGGAAGGGGATGTACCGTGGGGCAGAGACATAGGAACTTAGAGCCGCTGGCCAGGGCTAGGAGACCTGTGATCTTTGGCCCCACCTGATTTTGCTGTAGGATCCCCACCTTCCAAGAAAAGAAAATTCCTGGGATTCCATTCTGTTCTCACAGCTCCTTAAAATCTTAGTCCCAGGATGTAGTCCGTTGCTTCTCTAGGGCTTCACTGGACTTTGGTGCCCGCCTTATCTGAAACACTCCCAGCCCAACCTAGAACGTTGGGCAAAAGGACTCCTTTCCCAAGTCTTTCCTAAAGATCCCCTCGGCATCCTAAAAAACTGTTGTAGTAACTGAGGGCTTTTGTGCCAGCTTGACAGTATCCATGGTTACCTTCTCAAGGGCCAAGGGCTTTACAGTGGGATTTATTGTAGCCACAGAAAACCAGCCTGAAGCAACGAAGAGTCCCGTGGGGCGCTGAGCTTTCCCTTCTCTGAACTGAATGGAGTGTGCTTCAGCTCCTCAGTCCTTAAATCGGACAAACCAATGTCTGTTTTTGTTTACCCTCTAGGGAGGAGTGTGGGAAAAGAAAAGGGTGAGGCCCTGGTCTTGCTTCCTGAATTTCAAGAAACTCACATCTTTTTGGAGAATAAACATTTTAGCACAGCCTGTGAGCACAGGCATATAGAGAATGGCATGGGAGATCTGATGGAAGGTAGGTCCAGACTGGGATTATCCTAGAAGAGACAAGACTTACTGATGGACTATATATGAGGAGAGAGATATTAAAGTCAATGCCAAGGTGGAGGCCAAATAACTGATAGTATTACTTTCAGCTAAGAGGAAGCATGATCTGAGGAATAGGTTTGGAAGAGAAAAAGCAAGATTGTCGGCCCTGAACCTATGATTGTCGAGAGAGGTAACATCCAAAATGAGAGATGCAGGCAGAGATCAGCAGCTAGAGAAAAGTACGAGAGACCCAGGGCTAAGAAGGCTGGATTTTCATCAACATAGAGGCCACTGTTTAAACCTTCAAAAATTATGGAGAGTTAGAGGTTGGAGAGATGGTTCAGTGGTTAAGAGCACTGGCTACTATAGCAGAGGAACTGGGTTCAGTTCCCAGCACCCACTTAATGACTGACAACCATCTGTAACTCCAGTTCCAGAGGCTCTAATGCCCTCTTTGGCCTTCATGGGCATGGCATGCACATGGTGTACTTATATATATGCAGGCAAAACATTCATACAAATAATAAGAAATCATGGTAAGTGGGTGAACAGTGACCTGAGAACACAATTTGGGAAATGCCAACAACAGTTAAGTCATTAAGGAACAGAGAAGTCAGAAGAATCAGGGAGTGTGGAAGCTGATGAAATAGAGGTTTTTACAAAGTAGGAAAAGATCAGTCTATCACACAGATTCAGTAAAGAGTGTCAATAAAATGAAGAGAAATAATTTTCCATTAGATTAAAAAAAGGTCACTGATGAGAATTGCTTTTAATAAAGCAATTTCATCTCAGTATTGGGAAAGAAGTTGCGGTAGATAAAAACAAGATGAAAAGTTAGTAAATGATGACAGCACCTGAGCCACTTCCTCTGCAAAGTTTTTACATGAAGAGGGAGAAAGAGTGAATTAGATGTTGGGGTTTGGATCTTGCTCAAATTCACAGGTGAGGTAGAAAAACCAACAGGGAAGGAGAGGTTGAGCATCACGAAAGGACAACTGATAATGTCAAAAGTAAGAAGGGGTCAGGATAAAAAAAAGGAAGGGCCAACACTGAAGAGAAGGACCGACAGTTTGCCTTTGGAAACAGGAAAGAAAAAAGGCAGCTTGTGGGCATGGATGTGTATAGGTTGTAAGGAAGACGAGAGAGACAGATGGTGACCGATGGCCTCAATTTTCTCAATGAAGACTAAAAACTAAAGGAGGGTAAGTGCTAAGTGGGGAGTCTACAGAGAGGAGAACAGCTTTGGAATAATCACTGCAGGCAAGAACAGAAAAAAGGAAGGAAAGAGAAGACAGAATGAAGAACAAGGCTAAAGACTCAGATAATGTTGGAGACGTGAATTTATAATATATTACTTTGTCTGCCTGAATGGCTTCATGAGGTAGAATATCAAAATGATGATGGCTGAGCTCTAGATCCTAGCTGCCTGGATTTGCAACCATTTGTCTTTCACTTTTCATATTTCATTGATTCTCAGATGCACTTTTTTGCACATCTGACACTACTAAAGTCACATATATCTGTCAACAGATGGCACCTTACAATTATATTTAAAGTGTTTTCTTTTACTTTTTAAAAATATCAAGATGTTGACAATTGATGAGATCTTTGACTTGATGTAATGCTTTGAACAATGTGATCAACCCTTATGAAACCATTTATTTGCCTGGACAAAAATCTCTTTCATGCTGAGGAAAGAATGAGATCATACACAGAAAACACTCAGAAAGATGCTACATACTGTATATATTTGACAAATATTAAGGGTTTTCTTTTTCTCCTGAACTGCACAACTGACTGGATAAAAAGAATAATCCTTATGACATGGACTCAGTGTTAAATTTAGGGGCAAGATGCTGATTAATAAGAAGATACGTGGGAATCAAGGATCTAAGCAGGTTAGAACGACAAAAGAGGCAGGCTAGAAAGATAAAAGACTAGGAGGACATGAAGGAAACTATAGGCTTCACTAAATGAGGCATGCAGGTATAAAGGGAGTAAGGAGATGATGCTGGCAATCAGAGGGCCTGTGGTCAGGATGGAGAGACTAAGATTGCAATTGTAGAGGTGGGGCAGGCCCTCTGACTTTACTGAGGTGAAGGGCTAAAAGGATTGAACATAAGGGCCACCAC